TAGTCGATAGTATGGTTAAAAGCAGTATACCCGACAAAGACCTAAAATTTTAGCAGCATGCTTATGTAAAGGGACGATCGGTGGAAACCGCTTTAAACGAAGTTGTCCACTATATAGGTGAATCCTTCGATAGCAAACTGTATACACTGGCGGTATGCATTGAAATCGAAGGCGCTTTCAATAACGTGCACACTGATACTCTTATCCAATCCCTAGACCAGTTTTATGTTGACCGGGTGCTCCGTAACTGGATCAACTACATGCTAAGGAACAGATGGATAAGCTGCGAGATGTACGATATACTTATCAGGAAAAAGGTATTTCGCGATATACCAGAGTGTGGCATTTTGTCATCTTTACTCTGGGTTACCACGATTAATACCCTCCTAAGGACCCTATCTAAGAAGGTACTTAGACATGGGCTCAACTGAGAGGCCTCAATGTTAACCCGGTGAAGACGGAAATCTGCCTTTTCACAAGAAAGACACAAATTTCTACGTATACTGAACATTGATTCCTGGGCAAGAAGATACCAGTGACAGACAAAGTTAAGTACTTAGGTGTAATCCTCGACCGGAAATAAAAATGGAGACACCACATAGAGGATAGGCACACAGTGCTGGGCGATATGTAGGAAAAGTATAGGCATGAAATGAGGTCTGAGTCCTATGACAAAAGTGTAATTAGAGCAATTCTAGTGTAACATCAAACTACATGCTGCTTGGGTATAAGAGGTGCCATGTGAACTACTTCAACCAAAGCTCTGGAAACGTTACTAGATATTCCACCCATTGAAACATATTTAAGATATGAGGCGGCGCATACAGCCGAACGGCTCTTTACTTTAGGCGAACTGGCCAGAAGCGGTTATAGGACACGTCATCAATATATACTGGATACTTTGGAAGGTTATACACAATCATCGGACGTGCCTCATCGCAAACCAGACACTGGATGTGTCGGAAACTTTGAAACGCTGATCCCAGATAGAATGTCTTGGTCAAAGGGAAAACTAGAGAAAATACCAGTATGAATCCGTTGTTACACGGATGGCTCTAAATTGGGTAATAAAGTGGGCCTGGGGTTCTATATCGAAGACCCAGAAACAGAAATATACCACCATTTACCTAATCATAACACAAGCTTCCAGGCAGAAGTCCGAGCAATAACGGAATGTGTAAATTGGATTAGAATAAATATGGCGCTCACAGCCTTAATATATTTACCGACAGTCACAAGGCAATTAGGGCGATATCAAGTGATAGAATTAAATCTAAGACCGTATTGGATTGTAAGAAAGCTTTAACTGAATACTCTCCCAGAGGTTTACATCATATGGGTAACAGGCCACTCAGGAGTAGTCGGCAACGAAAGAGCGAATGTAATAGAGATGGGAGCTCGAGGTAGTTAACCTGACGAACGCAAAACCATTCGACACAACAAAAGCTGAACTAAAAATATGGGTGAGAGAATCCCACCCATATTTGGAATAATGAAACGGTGGGTAGAACCACATAAATCCTATGGGGTGACCCTGATGAGAGCAAGACGAGAAATCTCCTTAAAATAAGCAAGTCAGAGGTCCAGATAGTGGCCCAGGTGTATTTGTTCGGATTTGATGTACTATAGATTTTATTTTTAATTAAGATTTCTTTGTACATTAAACACAAATTGAATTAATCAATTTGCAGCTCTGCAAACGATTTATAAGTGTGCACAACAAAGCTTTTGTTAGTGCATTTTTCCTTTTGATTCCTGTTAAAAGTAGAAAAAGCTCTCAAAGGCATCTTATTCAAACATTGATATATAATTTGTGTTTTTTTTTAATCCTTTAATAGTGTCTGAAAGCAGTTTACTTGCTGTTTTACGGAAAAGCTAAAGCCTCTTTTTATTCATCTTTCTTCTTTACTTTGAAAGGTATTTAAATATTTAGCACAGCATCGCACACTTGAGAGAGCTTTAATGTTTCATAATCACTTATTGCAGATGGGCAAACAAAGCGATAAGATACTCGTTCTTGACTAAAGACAGAAACGACATTCATTTTGTAATTGTCTACAAGTGCAAGCGAGACACAAGATTATTCGACTATAGCAACAAATTTATTACACAAAGAAAACATAAAATTTTATATAGAAAACCCCTATTCACCTTAAGCAACTACAAAGTAAAATAAATACATCTAATGGATACTGAATGGATGTGAAATCTTCTTCTATCTACAAGTACGTAGTACACATACCCACATCTTTATGTATTGTTTGTGTGTAACTACTTTGTAAGTATTCACGTATTTTCGCAGTAAGTATCAGTATGAGTATGAGTGGGGTGTTGTCTGATTATGATATGGCGCTCATAAGGGGCGTTACTATATAAAGTACGATAAAGCAACAAACAACTTTTATTAATACATACATACATCCAAAAGATGCAGAAAAAGAAAAAAATTGGAAAAAATAACACATCTGCAGAGTCTAGTGTACGTGTGTATAACAAGTTTGGAGCGTGAGAATGCTGTTCATTTGTTCGCGTGCTTCTTGGCCACTGTGTCAACCAGAAGTAAACGTTATCAGAACTTTAAGTGAATTATTTCATTCAACGAATTGGTTTGGTTTGATGAGATTTTGCTAATGCTTGTATCGCAATAACCATTTCTCAGAAAGTGATTTTGAGAGCGAGTTTTTGAGTTGGCAATTAAATGCTTATATTAAAAATTAATTAATTTTAATTTAATCGCTAATATAGATCGGCCCTGAGTCGATTGGCATACTTTAAGGTGGGTGTAGGACCTATATTTTAGTGATTTACACTCATAAGCACAAACGCATAATACCCTCCGAACAAAATATTTTATAAAGACCTGGGTGCCACAGCTGGTAGTGTGCTAGCCTGTCAGTCTCGGGGTTCGATTCTAGTCTGCTACACTACAACGGGCATATGGTCATCGTCACCCTGCTCGGTAAATTATAGTATACGCACAATTGGGACGAACGACGAATTTTTCGGAACAAATATTCGTCGTCAGAAATAAAACACACTTGAGTATGTATATGAAAATGTACACAATCATTGCGTATGACGAAATTCGTCGTACGTAACGAACTATGCGATAGGTTTATTTCTATTTCTTACGCAGACGAACGACGAATTAATTGGGGAAAATTGTTTTAAAACCAATTCCGGTAGTCCGAATTTGCTGAAATTTGGCGGTTGTGAGTAGAGCTAATGACAATACAATATTATGTTCGAATATTCGAAAATTAGAAGTTATGTTCGAAAAATTTTTTATGCTCTTAAAATAAAAACTAAAAATAAAATTTTCGAAAATTCGAACTTAAGTTCGAAAAAATTTTAAAGCCATTAAAACCAGTTCTCGTGGCCCGAATTGTCTGAAATTTGGCAGTCTGGAGTACACTTGATGACACTACAATGCTATGTTGGAATATTTAAAATTAAGTTCGAAAATTCGAAGTAATGTTCGAAAAAATTTTGAAGCTGTTAAAATAATCTCAAAATTGGGGATATTCACAAAAATATAATTTTAGTTCTTTCTTACATTTCTAATTACGAAATAATGTTCGAATAAATTTTAAAGCTGTTAAAATTATCTCAAAATCGTGGAGGTTCACAAAAATATAATTTTTGTTCCTTTTTCTTACTTTTTCCAATTTCGAACAAACAAATTTTAAAACGAATTCACAGTACGAATAATTTGATTGTGTTCCATTCGACGAATTTACGCAACGAATTTGTGTCGACTAGTTCGTCGTGCTATACGAAATTCGTCGTTCGTCCCAATTGTGCGTATACCATTAGTTTAGAATATAAATATAAAACGCTATGCTTTCGATTATCATACAAACTTATATGTATGTATAAACCCACATCAATCAAAATTCTAATCTTAATGCAATTTCAAAAGATTGCATTCTTTAGGAGCTCTGAAAGTGCAAGAAATTGTTTGTGGTTGTTGAAAATGAATAACTTAAAAAAAGTAAATAAACAGCTACAAGTGTTTTGAAATCCGATCAAGATAATGTTGTGCGATTAGGATACCCCATATTCTTTGTTTTTATGTTACACTAGTGAGAGGTTTTCTTATGGAATCTTGCTGTTTATACTCACTCACCTATGACACGCGACTGCGTACTCATTACAGAAGAAATCGAGTGAAAATTCAAGTCCACTCAGAATGATAAATACTTTGAGAACTCGTTTTTGAATCCTACTCAGGGAGAGATAGATAGTGCAATTGTAGGAAAGAAAGGCGGCGCCACAGTAGTGAAAGTACTTAAACTCTCGCGTCAGAGCCAATCAAAACCACCCTTAAGTTTATAAAGAATTACTCACGTATCTCCAAGATACACATTCATTGAGTTATTGTACGTTTTGCAATTTGCTTCCTTTTCCTCTATGGTGGTGGATGACTGAAAAAATGGTTGGATGTAATTTTATCGTGTGAATGGGCGTTTGTGTGCGTTCTCTGGTTTTATATTTTTCCTAGTTTTGTATCTTGTTTATTTTTTGTTTTGGGCAATAGTATCTATGTTTTCATTGCTCTGAATTATGAGCAAGAGAGCAAAACATCATGAGCAAGTATGGAGTGGATATTTTGAGTGTATGGGTGTACTTGGCTACGTATGTATGTTGTATATTTGTTGCCAAGTTTATGATGATCGTTGATTGTACGGTTGTTGGTTGGCTGGCTTGTTGGTTGGTTGGTTGTTGGTCAGCCACACTCAAAAACTTCACACAGATACAAACATATACATTCATACGTTATGTGTTTGTAATATTTGTTTGCATGCCTTCATCTTTGTCATATCATTGTTGTGTGGTGGTTGTAGTTGTTGTAGTCGTTTCCATCCGTTTGAGTGTTTATTGTTTTTTGTTAACTGAGCCAAAACTGAATGCTGGCTTTGTGTGTGGGACTGACTGACTGAATGACGGCTGACTGCTTTTTGTGTTCTCCATCAGCCATTTGGTTAGTTCAACGAGTGGTCTTGCGTTGTAACGACGTTCTATACGTTGGTGGATTTGTGTGGCGTGTGGCACTAATTCAATTCTTCGGCTTGACGTGTTTTTTTCTTTTCAATTCATTTAAACTCTTTCGTATTGGAATATATCGTCGTAATTGTAGCCGTGTTACTTATTTATCGCATTATTACCAATATAATTAATACAAATACATGTGAATGTATGTGAAAAACAACAAACGTGTAAACGGAAAATAATATTTAAAATTGTGGAAAAAAGTGATATGTATGTGTACATAATTTAAAAAAAGTACAAAATAATAAGAAAAAAGAAAAATATGTATCAAAATAAAATGAAATAATAATAATAATACTTATACAATCATACATCATATTAACATACAAAGTTAATAAAAATTTGCAAAATATTAAATAATAAAAACAAAAAAAAAGTTAAAATATTTACTTAGTTCAATACTTAACGAGTGTCGGAAAAGTGTTTCCATCATTAATTGTTGGAATACACGGCCCTAATAGAAATAATTGGAATTTTATATTTAACACTTGGATTAAAAACCGCCAAAATTGTGGAGGCACTTAAAATGAAGGTACGTCGTTAACCAGTTTTCAGCTTTTTCTTCTTACCGGCGGTAGTAACAAATATTTGAATTCCAGTTTTGCAAACTAAAGATATGTCAATGCGAATTTGATTAAGAAATGCGACGGCAAAAAATTTCAATCGACTTCTTAAGATTTTTATAAATGTGGTTTATATAGTTGAAAATACTGATGATAAATCAGACATTTTTATAACTGCTTATAATAAAACTCTAGTAAAATCAAAAATAATAAAATAGACTTTCGGTTCTCTGGGAACTGTAACTAATAGCTCTCATGGATAACAATTTATGTATCCCCGCTTATCAGCTCCAAAGCAATTGAACTGTTAATCTTTAAAAGCTTTGATTTCCTTTATACATTACAAGGGTTTGCCAGCTAAATTTGCTATAGTCTCTTAGTATTTGAGACGATAACGTGTCAATATGGGTAAAGAAGAGCAGACATCTAATATTAAGTCTGCATCATTTAGGGATTGTATATAAGCGGTATTTGAAGGGGAGAACATTTCCTAAAGTAAATTATTTTATGAATATATAAAAACTAAATTAAAACTAATATGAGCGGAGCCCATATTATTTTACCCGCTTCAAAAGGGGCTGTCAATTGTTGTATGATAACTTCTACACTTATAAGTTACTGCTGAAATCTGTTTATAATTCACCGATGTTTGTATATGTCGATCCAAATCTTGTATATTTTTACACAAATTGGATTTCCATACAAACCGAGTCGGTCTATTATTCATCGAGCTATTTAAGCAAGTAAAATTCTTTAAATTTTTCCTGTCGTTCAGATGCTTTTGCATCAATCATTAAAGTAAGAGAAGAAAACCACTTAAATACTTCTACTAAAGTAAGCGATGAGAGTTTTATTCAAAACAAACCCATCAGAAACAAAGAAAATAAATAAAAAAAAGTTAAAGAAAGAAACAAAAATCTTATTGACAGGCGGGTCTTGCAGATCAAAGCTTTGAAAATCTCAGCTGGATATTGGCATACAACAGCGCATTGATCCCACACATAAAAATACAGTTTATTATGAAGATTGTTGGTTGTCGAATGAATGGTTGGATAAATCGTTGTACGACTGGTTTTGTCTGTCTGTCAGTCGATCGAACGGTGTGGGGAAGGATATTTTATAATCCAACAAATCTGTTAAGATTTGATGATGTGCATACGCTGATATTGATGTGATTTTAAAAATCATCATCATCGATGAAAAAGCCAAACAAAAAAAAAAAAAATACTAACTAAACAAAAACATCTTCATGTTGTCGATTATTTTATTGATTCGTGTAAATTCAATTCCATACGCTTTGGAAGTGATGCAGCAAAAAAAGAACAAAAAGTAAGATGATGTTTTTTATTACACCCTGCCTCGTAAACAAATTGTACGTAACTCTACATTGTATGAGTAAAATTCATTCACAACATTATTTATTTACTTGTAACAGAGATACAAAAGTATAAATTCATAAATTATGTTTTTTAGTTAATAAATAATACTTTAACTTTTAGCAATTGAAGCTTAGCGATAAGTTTATTTAGAAAAGTAATAGGTTATTTCATGATCGCCCAATTTCTTATACACTCTGTTATTTATCTAACTTATTTTAGCACAATTTGTTTTTGACAATTGTCAGAACCTATAGATCAATTTCTTTATATTATTATAAAACATTAACTTATTGTTCTAAATATATTTATATATTTTCAATGAAACAATGAATTAATTTAAAAGTATGATTACTTCAATGTATCTGATGGATTTACAATAATAAATATTAACATATATTTCAATGTCTTACAATGATTGAATTCCTATCTGTGCTTTTACAAAAAAGAAAGAAATTCATTTTGTATAAAAAAAAAACATTTTCTCTCATCATCTTATTTCAATATGAATCATATCATTTACGTATCGTGTGTTTAATCGATTTTTTGTGCAATGATAATGCTCAGATATTTTGCGCTCAAATACGCCGCTATCCCGCTGTGTATTTTTGATAACTTTTAAATGCTTCAATTTGTTGTTAATTTCCCTCAACACATTTTTTGTGTTAAGTTTTTAAGCCTTTATTAAAAAAAATTTTCGTTAAATCATGGTCCAACTTTAGTTATGATTTGCATTTGTTGTAACTGTTGTTGTTATCTCACAGATAATCCATAAGAATATCCATCCATCTCATCGTACACGAATGAAAAAAGACTGGAAATATTTATGATAAATACCACCCACACTTATAATATTTTACGCATTTTTAAATGATTTTTTTGGGGTTTCTTTTGGTCACGTTTCCATTTATAAAAAGCCATTTATACAGCTTAAATTTTTTTATTTACTGGATTTATTTTAGCTTGAAATTCATTAGCGTTGATAATCAGTTTAAAGTGTTGTTGATACTAATAATTTCCAAATTTGGTTAAAGAAGTTACATTTATAGTCCACAAACAAATAAACACATTTTTACATACATATAAAAGATATATACACATGTGTACATACATATTTATATATCTACTTTATGTAAAATTTACAAAGGTTGACAGTGTCACTTTAGAGATATGTACATACATATGTTCTTCTTATATAAAAATATTAATATGTATGTTAGGATATATGTATGTATATATGTAATTCAAAAACTATATCAGATGTATTAACCTGAAAACGATACTGATTTTAAATTTGCTTTATGTGTAGAATCTTTCTCATTCTTGTCTTCTTTAATTTCGGAAGATTGAATTTCTAAGAAAGCAGGCTTTAAACGATATATCGATACGTTATCGATTTTGGTGAAGTATTTTTCAAAGTGTTGAAGTGGTTTCAAAATAAGATCACTCCTTATCCAAACATGGGTACATTGTTCTAAATCTTTGTTGACGAAGACTGAAGGCTTGTTATTACTAGAACAGGAAATTGGTTTTATTCTTGAGATTATTGTTCTCAGTTGTGCTACAAAGTCATTGCTGTTCATTATGGCGGTATTATTGTTAAAGAATTGTCCAGGAAGATGAAGACTTTCACCATAAACCATCTCCGCAGGAGAGCAATTTATTGAATCTTTTATAGATACTCGTATTCCCAACAATACTAATGGTAAAACTTTTGTCCATTTTGAGTCTTCATGACAAGAAATTGAAGCTTTTAATGTTCTATGGAATCGTTCAACTAAACCGTTCGATTGGGGTATGATGTTGAAAATTTGATTTTGGATCCCAAAAATTGTGTTAGGCAATGGAAATTATTTGATGTAAATTGACGTCCTCTATCAGTGTGAATTATATCAGGTGAACCAAATTTTGCTACCCATCTAAATGTGTATAATTAAACACATTTATTTATCAAAAATTTAAAAGAACTTCTATTGAAACTTTTATTGAAAAAACTACAAAACTTCTAAACTCAAAATTTCAATTTTAAGATGATTACAAATTAACAATTTTTTAAAAATTAAAAAATTAAAAGTTTATAAAGGTAAGGTATATATTGTGTCTCCACAAACCCTTACACGCACAAAATTAAACCACTGAAGTCTCACTCTGAGAGTACATAATGCCCGACAGTCACAAAGTACATGTTCAGAGGTTTCATCATGCATTTCGCAGAATCTGCATAGTCTCGTCACATTATTACCAAGAATGTGCTGGTATCCTTTGGGGATACATTGTTTGCCAGACAATCTTCTCTGAGTCCAGAGTGGCCTTTATGGCCAAGTACGCAACCCGACTTTATTTAATATGATAGTAAAGCCATCACAAATATATTTAATCCTCTCAGTTTTCTTCTCAGACATTCTGTAATACAAATGATAATTGCATACACCTCTGCCTGAAAGATTGAGAAGTAATTGCCCATAGGGATGGCCTTTTGTAAATTTGGACCATAGATTCGACCGAATTAAATTAATCAGTCGGACACTATAAAATTATAAAATCAAAGTCACCTTCTCAGCTGGCTAATAACGGATTTATTGCAAGAAAAATATACTTCATTGTCACAGCTTCCAACATATAAAGTAGAATTATGGGGTCTCTTACTTTGTTTAGAGAGAAACCCAATTTGAATTTTGAAAAGTAAAAATTTAAGAAATTCAAAACTTAAATTAAGTTTATATTGACAATCAAAATTTAAAAGCCACATCTGTAAACACGAGTATTTAAATATATATTTATAAACATACACTGGTTAATCTATATACATACATCTATACATATGTATGTATTTAAATACAATATGTACATGTATGTACATATGTATGTATGTTTATATAGAAAATTAATATGCATAAATAAATATTCTATTGAATATTCATGAAGTTATTTTTTCTGTTTAAACAAAAACGTCTAAAACGAAGAAAAATCTATAATAATTTATGAACTCACTTTTTATTAAAATTGGTATTTTTTTGTATATAAAAATTTAAGAAAAACAACAACAAAACAAATTGAAAAATCTGGTAGTTTTTTATACTGACATACTCTCTTTATTCCAAACAAAATATTTAAATATTTTTTCTTGTATAATAATAAAATAAATTATAAAATTAATGTTATTTTTTAAATGTTTTATATTTATGTTTTTTTTTTTTGTTAAGGTTAAAAACTGCTTGAGTTACGCCTCATCGTTATGAAAATATCAATTTATTATAGTTTAACAAAAATATTCATTTTTAGATATTTTTTATCACTTAAAACTGGGATGATAGAAATTAATAATGGCGTCATTATTATTTTTTTTTACAAAATTTACATTTTCTGTGTAATATTTTAAATATTGCGGTCAAATACATATTAATAAGAATTTTAGAAACAGCTGAAACTAAATTAAAATTTTATATTTTTATTAAATATGTGTTTGACTCTTTTGAGCTGAAAAAGTTTCAGATAGTTTTAACTTAGCGGGGTTTCCCAATTGTGCAAATGCGCGTGCCAAATAAGTGCATAAATAAAAACTATGAAAAACACCTTTTTTGAGATAGAAAACT